TCGCCATATACAAGGTTTGGGTTGTCACTAGTTTCAGGGGGGCTTGTTGGGCTCTGGTGGCTGTGGGAAGGACAGCTTGGAAGGAGGCTAATTAGTGTGGCTATAGAGGGGACAGCCAATGTCCATGAAGCCATAGTATTGCTGAAGAGGTGAGAGCAAGGGCAGGATGCAGCCCAGAGGTGAGGTGAGGCCTGCCAGGAGCATCGAGGCTGCATGGCTGCCTGACTGGAGGCCATCTGGCCAGACTGCCTCCTGATGCCTCAAATTGACACCTCAGATTTGTCTCCCTGGATAAAGGGGTCTGAAGACTTGTCATCTGTGGTTGGCTCTGCCACATTAGCCTGAGGTTTTGGCAAGTCAGTTCCCTTCCTGGGTCTCTGTCTCTGTCTCTATCTCTGTGGTGGTAGTGATAATGGTGATGATGGGGTGGTGGTGGTGATGGTGGTGGTGGTGATGGTGGTGGTAGTGATAGTGATGATGATGTGATGTGGTGGTAGTGGTGATAATAGTGGTGGTGGTGTGCAGGCCAAACATGGGACAGATGGTGGCAGAGAAGTGCATGAAGTCCAGCAGGATGGAAAGCAAGTGCTCTTGTCACCCTCCAAACCCCTGGAGGGCCAGGCCCACACTTTGTGTTTTTCTAAGGAACATCAAGTCTCCCAAACAGCACTCTGCTAATATTTGCTTGACAAATGAATGAATTTCTGAGACTCACACAACAGACTTCTTGGACCCATGGAGCTTGCAGAATTATATATTTTTGTTTGATTTTGACTCCAGGTGCTCACAGGTATTATACTGATCTCTGTTGACACCACAGAACATTGCTTATCAGTAGTTGCACATCTTGGGAGATGGGAAAGAGATAATTGAGAGGGTCCATATGTTTGTCATCTTTGGGGTACAGCAGTTCAAAGGAAGTGGTGCATTGTGTGTGTGGTGGGTCGTGTCTTCTCCTGTAAGTCAGAGTTGCACAGCTCAGGAGGCTGGTTTTCAAGCTGCCTAAGAGACAGCCAAGCATTTCCACAGTCTGGGGCTGCAGGATGGGCTGGGAAGATGAGTGGCCCAGTGAGCCCTGTGTGGTGTGGGCACCACAGACATTTCAGCTGGACAAAGAGGTGGAGGACTTCTCCATGGAGCTGAGTAGCCTGGCTTAGCCCTGTCCTCTTGAAGTTACTTATTCATCCTCCTAGAACTTTCTTTTTTCAGGAAGAGAACACACATGGAGGCAGAGTGCAACAAAGTAGAGCTCAGCTCATCTAGGGGGCTGCCCACACCCGCTGAGTCACTCATAATGGCCCCTCAGATGTCATTTTCTTGCTAAGACATTTGGAAAAATTTCTGCTTCTGAATCACAAGCAAACACTATAATTCAACAGTCTTCTCTGAGTTATTCAAGGAACTTCAATGCACTCAGAAGTAGAAGATCAGGGTGGGTGAACTCAATGAATTCTCTGAGAACTCTGTTTTTCTCCTAATTATATTTCCTTTGCCAAGTAGAGGATGCACCATCTGACCCCTGGGGACATCTTCTAGGGGAAGTCTGGAAGGGGCTGATGGGGGTTTCTGGGTGACACTTGGTTTTTCTTATCTTCATAGTTCTATTCCCATAATAGAACCAAGTGTCATCTAGGAAGAGGCCAATCTTCTTGTGGAGGTCGATTGCAGTAGCCCGCGGGAGGAGACGTGTCCAGGGCATGTGCGGCTGGCCCTGGCTTGCAGGTTTCTTGGCTTCTGCTTCTGAGTCATGTGCAAACACTGTAATTCAGCAACCCAGGTGTGCATGGTGCCCGGCATGTGTGTGTGGAGCTCTGCCCCGGCCCTCTGCCTTGTGGGCAATGCCTGGGGAAGCTCTGCTCTTGAGCAGTCAGTGCTACCCTGTCTTGGTTGTGGCCAGAAAATATCTGGGGGCAGAAAACAGTGGTGTCATTCATCAGAGATGGCCTGTTCTCATTATTTGACATAATTCAGGGCTGGGTGTCAGGTGCCTTCAGCCTGGCAGGGGAGCAGGCCTCGGGGGGATGTGTCCTGGAAAGGACTACTCCTCTGGGGCTGGGGTAAGGCACTAGGTAGTCACCACTTCGCTGGCTTGCAGCAGACTGGCAGTCACAGGAGGGCTCCTTCCTCAGGAGAACAGGTACCTTCACAAGAAGGGCAGAGGCAGGATGACTGCCTCACAGGTGGCTGCTTTCCCTACCTCAGCTGTGCCCAGGCTTTGTCACCCTGAATGCAGGAGCCTAGCCAGGAGGCAGTCCTGCCACAGGTGTGGGATGAACAGGCCTGTCTTCAAGTGAAGCCGAGGCTGGCTTGAAGTCTGCCAGCTGCCAGGTGTGCGGGGTCAGCTAGCATGCCCGGTCCTCACAGCTGACTGTGACTCGGGGACCCTTATCTAGTTTACAGATGGAAAAACCCAGGATACGGGAGGAGATGGGCCCCTTCAGTGGCGGAACTGGGCTTCAGCCGGGGGACCTGCCAACTTCCCCGCCCCATCCTCTCTGCAGCCCAGTGTCCAAAGCTCAGCACCAGCCGAGACTGAACAAACATTGCCCGCAATACAGGAATCAAAGCAAACAGGGCTCCTCTCTTTTCTCCCTTTTGCCAACTGCCCCATTAACAGAAAAGCTTTTTAAGCTCCCATCTGGAAACCTGGCCTTTCCCTCCCTAAGCAAACGGAGAGACCAAGAGACGGAGAGGAATGCGCCGTGGGGAGGGGTGGGCAGCACACTGGGCCCTGCGCATACAGCCAAGAGTGAACCCAGGGAGATCAAAACTGCCCTCCGGCCCAGCCCAGTGGTCCCTGCAGCGAGGCGGTATGCGGCCACACAGCCCCTTTCAGCAGCTCTGCCTCAGAGGCCGTGCCCATCCATGGCTTCCCATAATAGCTCATTGAGGGCATTCCCTTCTGATCTACTCCTGATGGCCAGGTTTCTTGGATCAGTTTATACTTCCAGCCTAGATCATCTCTTAGGGAATGGCGCGAAAAGTCCTTGGGCGCTGTGTCCCCACCGGCCATCAGAAGGCCATACTCTTGTGTAAATACATTATTGGCTCTAAGAAAAGTTGCCATTCTGAACATCACTGCTCAAACTCACCCAGCTGCCAGTGTGCACTCAACAAACATTTACTGAGGCCCTGTTATGTATCAGGCACTTTGGGGACTCAAAGGTGACATGACACCGGCAGCTCCCCGGCTGGTAGGGAGATAAGGCACGTGTCTAAGCAGTTAGCAAACAGGAGAGCCCATGGTCATCCACTGGTCATTCAGTGCTCTGGTCCTGGGCACACAGAGGGGTCTCTGGAGAAGGAGCAGCCATGAGACCCTCATGGAGCTGTTTTTGGGCTTTGGAGGGTCTGGCAGGCAGGGGAGCCCCCTGAGAGGGACGAGTGGAGTAGCCTACCACTAGGGAGGCTTGGCATGGAGGACAGGCTAGCTTCTGAGGGTACTGAACTGTGCCTCTGTGTGTATTTCTTAATTTGTCAGGAATACAGAGGAACACAGATGGGTTTCTTCCTCCTGAGTTTACACGTTCTTCTCTTTACCTCTGGGTGGTGGGTGTCTGGACCAGAAGCATCCAAGAATCATGTGGTGATTCAGATTTGAGTAGAAAGAAATCTGAACCATACAGTCATGTTGCAAAAGTGCAAACTTTATACCTTGAAGAAATTCACCTTGCCGCCCTTGCTTTCCTGTGATCTCCAGGTTGAGGGCTTATTACTGGGTCTGTGTTAGAGTGAGTTGCTGGCAGTGTCACGACCTGACCTTCAAGTGGTCCGCACTGTGGTCCCTCCTGGAAAGGAGGACTCCCACACACACACCCACTGTGCTGTGGTCAGAGTCACAGGACAGAAGGTGGGCGCAATATCATCCAGTAGTCAAGTCTGTGTCTGAATTTTGACAAGAGTCCTCAGAGTGGCCTTTGCCCTTCTGTGGGATGAAGCCAGGACCCATGGTGCTCTTAATGGACACTCTAAATCAATCTGGAGGACCACATGCTGGACCTGGCATGCTCAGATCAAATCCCCTGCTGCAGGTCTGGGCTGCTCCTCAGGTTCGGAGCCCAGATCCTTCTATGCCTGGATTAACCTCCTTTGAGAGTGAGAGGCTACTGCTCTTAGACTCCCTTATTGGTCACCTCCCTGTGTGGGCTCCTACCTGCACCTTGAGGCCCATGAGGCCTATGGGACATACACAGAGTACAGGGCTCAGGCTAGACACAGGGCAAAGGATGCACAGCTCCTGTATGGGCCACTGAGAGCAAGTACTCCAGGTTTGGGCTCTGGTAAGGTCACTGATCTGGTTGGGACATGGAGGGACAGCCTCATGGACTTCTTACTTTGAATCCAATGTCACGTTGTCCTGTGGGATGTTTTCCCAGGTCCTGTCATAGCACGGGGTTGTAAGGACCAAGGACTGGAAAGGGGCTGGGAGGACAGCTGGGGTCAGATTGGGAAAGGCCTGGAGGCCAAGCAGTGGCTCTGAACTTTCTCTCTCAATGGAGTTTTCTTGAGCTTCTAAGACCCACGTGTCACCTTCCAATGGTGGTCAAGTTCATCATCATTTTACTACATAAGTACTAATTATTTTTTCCATTAACAATAAAATTCAAAACTTAAATAATAAAAACCATCCCCCCACATTCCCTCGGATATTACCACATACCACAAGTGGTTTTCAAATCACTCCCTGGGAAATTCAGCCAAAGACGAGGTCAAGTGTTGAGTTCAGACAACTGATAACTTGCACAGGCAAGACCCTGTGCAGGTGGTCCCAGCCACCGCAGCAAGCTGGGAGCCTTGGCTATCATCATGCTCAGGCATCAGAGCTGGCACCAGTGCCCAGGCGCCACCAGGGCAAGGCCTGTGAGGTGCAGTTCAGGCACCACACAGAGGTGGCCCCCCATCTTGCACTCCTGCTCTGGGAAATGACTGGGCAATATTCTGTCAGGAAAGGAAGGACAACCCATCTGGAAGGTTGATAGGCAAAGAGCTGAGAGGGTTAGGGCTGGGCTGTGGACTGGACACACCCCTGGGCCAACTGCAAGGGTGGTCTGAAAGCTGGTCTCATCCCTGCAATGATCAAAGTCACAGCCGTCTCTCGCTGGTGAACAGTGGGTCTCCTGGAGTCTGAGCATCTCAAGAAGAGCTGATCCTTGGGTTCAAAGCAAGGATGCGGGAAATCGTGCACATTCAAATCGGCCAGTGTGGCAACCAGATTGGAGCCAAGGTAGGTAAAGGCTGACTGCTGACCAGGTCCCCCAGACCCATAAATACCCCAGCTGGCAGGGAGACAGTGTCCTTGCAGATGCAGGCACTTGCTGAGGATTTGGTTTATTAAACAGATCTTTAGTTACAGAGACACAGAAACTATTAAAGGCTGAGAGGATTAGTTTAACTAATGCTAATTTGGTCCACAATTTCATGTATGTAATTCCCGTCAGTCATTTCACTTATATATTTTTTTCTTTTGGTACTGGGGACTAGACACACTGAGTTACATCCCAGCCCCCTATCTTTTTGTTTGAGACAGGGTCTTACCAAGTTACTGAGTGCCTTGCTAAGTTGCTGAGACCCTTAAAACTTGGAATCCTCTTGCCTCAGCCTCCTGAGTTGTAAGGATTATAGGTATGACCACCACCATTTTACTTTTATCATCTTATTATTTCTAACAACAGTAATTTGTCTCAAATGAGGATTTTGAAATTTGTTGGGAAGTTTTTTAGACCTTATTGTTACAGTGTCTTTTCCCTCCCCTCCCATGTTCATGCTATTAGAAAAAATTGTTTTATTTAGTATGCAACAGGAAATTAAAGAGGTAAACCCAAAATAAAGTTTTTGTGTATAGTGGAAGAAATAATTAAAATACTTTCTTTGAGGTATGAGATATTTTATCATACCTAAAAGCTTTTTAACCCTCTTCCTTTTTGAGATTGCATAATATTCCATGATACAGATAGACCACATTTTGTCTATATATTCATCCATTAGTGAACACTTGGATTATTTCTCCTCTGCTCCTTCTGCTTAAATTTCTCTACAAAATACCTGATTCATTTGGCTAAAACCAAAAAGACAGGTGTTTCAGCTCAAGATTTCCAATCCTCATTGTAGTATAAACAACTGTACTCTGCAACACCCAGATAACTTGTTCTCTTTGTTATTTTGAAATCACTTCTACCAGGTGCACACCTATAATCCCAGCATTTTAGGAGGCTGAAGTAGGATTGAAAGTTTGAGGACACCCTTGGTAGCTTAGTAAGACCCTGTCTCAAAAGAAAGCCCCAAAGGACTGGGGTATAGCTCAGTGGTAGAGGGGTAGTCTAGCATATGTGAGGCCCTATGTTCAATCCCTAGTAGTCCAAAAAGAAAATTACTTTTACTAGAATGAATTGCATTAAAAGTAAGATTTTAAAACACTTCCATTAGGAGGTCTTACTTTTTACAGAGCAGCATTTCTCACAATAGCCAAAAGGCAGAAATAATCCAAATGTTCACTGATGGATGAATGTATAGATGAAATGTAGTCTATCCATATCATGGAATATTATGCAGTCTCAAAAAGTAAGAGGGTTAAAAGCTTTTAGGTAAAATATACATCCCACAAAGTGAACAGTTAAGAAAACAATTCCTGGTACAGTTCTGTAGTATTAAGTATCTTCATATTATTGTGTATCCAAACTCCAAAATGTTTTTCATTTTATAGAACTGAAACTCTGTCCCTATTAAACACTAACTCTGTTCCTATTAAACCCATTTCCCTCCAGGCTCCGGGAGCCAATGTTCTACTTTCTGCCTCTGTGAATCTGACCACTCTTATTTAGATGGAACCATCTAATATTCGTCCTTTCGTGACTGGCTTATTTCACGAAGCATCAACATCCTCAATCTTTACCAGTTTTGATCATCATCTCTCCATGGGCTGACCCTCTGGTTGTCCCACCTCTTAGCTATTTTGAGAAAGGTTGCTATGAATTCAGGTCTGTTAAGTGCAGGTCTTTTAAACTGAGGGCAGGGAATTTTACAGCTGGAATACTAGTTATGGTCCTTCCATGCCACAGTGACAAGACATTCATAGCTAACACAGAAATGGGGAGCCCCCTGCTCTGACATTGCAAGATAACATGGAGAGAGGCCCTGGAGAGGAAGTGCATGGTGGAGATAGGGTAAGCTCTTGGCCTGGGTGGTGCTGCCCAGTGGTTAGAATCCAACAGTGACTTCTTACTTGGGGCTGTAAAGACTTTAAGACACATTCAATTGTGGTGTCTCAGAACTTCAGTGTATTCACTCTTTCACTCCCAGGACCATGACATAATTTACTATAAAATAGAGCCTATTTAATTTTTATTTATAGCCTATTTTAAGACCATGACTGGAGTCAAGGTGTCATTTACAAACTTAGTTGGGAAAACACCCTTGAGGAGGTCTTGACAAATGAGTATGTTTTGATTGCACTTTAACACATGCTTTTCCAGGTCATCAAAGGGGCCACCTAGTAATGGCTTCCATATTGAGAACAGGGTATGTAGCTACATCGACAAATACTATACATGTGATTGGAAGGGCAGAATGATCCATAGCTGCAAGACAACAGCTAATGCATAATTTTGAATCACATGCATGCCTGATCATCAAAAATGCATATTACTTAAAATTGTGCACAAGGTCCTGGTTATGCACTTTTGGGAAAACTTCATGAAAGAAATCTCCAAAGTGAAATGAGATATTATTGTGAAATTTGATAAGAATTCAGTTCATTTTCACTTAATGGAATCCACACTTGAGTAACTCAGAGCACTACAAGGTGAAAGTAGAGACATGTTGTCTGATGTGAAATTATGAAGCAATGTGTCCAACAGCCTGGATTTATTTATTTATTTATTTATTTATGGTACCGGGGATTGAACCCAGCGATGCTTAACCGTTGAGCCACATCCCCAGTCCTTTTTTTTTTAAAGAGAGAGATTTTTTTTTAAAGAGAGAGAGAGAGAGAGAGAGAGAGAGAGAGATTTTTAATATTTATTTTTTTTTAGTTTTCAGCAGGCACAACATCTTTGTCTGTATGTGGTGCTGAGGATCAAGCCCGGGCCACACGCATGCCAGGCGAGCGAGCTACCGCTTGAGCCACATCCCCAGCCCATCCTTTTTGTTTTTTAATATAATTTTTTTAATTGTAGTTGGATAACTTTATTTTGTTTGTTTATTTTTATGTGGTGCTGAGGATTGAACCCAGTGCCTCACAGGTGTGAGACAAGTGCTCTACTGCTGAGCCACAACCCCAGCCTCATCCCCTTTCCTTTTTATTTATTTATTTTTGAGACAGGGTCTTGCTAAGTTGCGAGGTGGGCTTTGAACATATTGTTCTCCTGCCTCAGCCTCTGCAATTTCAGGTGTGGCCACCACGCCTAGCAATAGCCTGAATTTAATAGAACAATCCAATTTAGTATTTTATGTGTTTGATATTTTACTGCAGGAGTTCAAGATGGCATAAAATTCAAAAATATTCATATTTATACTTAGTACAGGCAAAAACCAAGAAATTCCCTGGTCATTTATGAATTGGTCATTTATGAAAAGGGTTAGGTTGACCAAGGGAAACAAGTCCAAGAGCTCCATTTCTTTCTGATGCCCTCTTGGCCTTCACAGATCCTTGTCTATACTGACTTAACCCTGCTCCTACTTTCAGTTCTGGGAGGTGATTGGTGAGGAACATGGGATCGACTGTGCTGGGAGTGACCTTGGGGCATCTGCTTTGCAGCTGGAAAGAATCAGCGTGTACTACAACGAAGCCTACGGTAGGGCTGGTGGGCTGCAGTTGGTGGTGGCCCAACAACCAGGAAGCAGACAGAAGAGGAGCAAAGGCTTTGGGAATCCAAGCATCAAATGAGTGTTGTCCCACCTGGAGCAGGCAGACAGGCAGGCAGCTGAATCTCCAGAGTGGGGTCCCCACCCCTGTTCAAGAGGCAGGACTGGAGAGGAACTCACCCAGACCACAAGCAGATTAAGTAGCTCCTTTCCTAAAAAGGGAAATTTACAAACAAAAATTTACAAAAATGTTGGTAAACGATAGAATCATCCAGATTGGAAGGAGCAATACAACAAACAAAGATGAGAAATGTTTTTTTTTTTCCTTGTTTGTGTGTGTGTGTGTGTGTGGGGGGGGGGGGCGGGTATTTTACAGATATGTGTGAAATGTTTTTGGGGTGAAAGATACTACAGGAGGTACTCAAATCCTGAACTATCAAAGACCCCTTTCTAGAACACCCTTGTTTTTTGGACCAGGATTACAAGGTTTCATCTTGATGAAATATTAATTTCTAGAAAAACATCAGTTTGCTGACATCTTCCTGCTGCTTTACATAGGTAAGAAGTATGTGCCTCGAGCAGTCCTGGTGGACCTGGAACCTGGGACGATGGATAGCATCCGATCCAGCAGATTAGGAGCCCTCTTTCAACCAGACAGCTTTGTGCATGGTAGGTTTTTCTAGAAGATTCCACCGGGCAGAAATGAGGATGCCTCCTACAGGTGCCCTTTCCACACATCACGCCCCCTTCCTCTTCTTTCCAGGTAACTCTGGGGCTGGCAACAACTGGGCAAAGGGCCATTATACCGAGGGAGCCGAGCTGATCGAGAACGTCATGGATGTAGTGAGGAACGAGAGTGAGAGCTGTGACTGCCTGCAGGGCTTCCAGGTCGTCCACTCCCTGGGTGGGGGCACAGGCTCCGGCATGGGCACTCTGCTCATGAACAAGATCCGAGAGGAATACCCAGACCGGATCTTAAATGCCTTCAGCGTCATGCCATCCCCCAAAGTGTCGGACACGGTGGTGGAGCCCTACAACGCCGTGCTGTCCATCCACCAGCTGATTGAGCACGCTGATGCCTGCTTCTGCATCGACAACGAGGCACTCTACGACATCTGCTTCCGCACGCTGAAGCTGACCACGCCCACCTACGGGGACCTCAACCACCTGGTATCTTTGACCATGAGCGGCATCACCACCTCCCTGCGCTTCCCGGGCCAGCTCAATGCAGACCTGCGCAAGCTGGCTGTGAACATGGTGCCCTTCCCTCGCCTGCACTTCTTCATGCCGGGCTTTGCCCCGCTCACCGCCCAGGGCAGCCTGCAGTACCGGGCCCTCTCCGTGGCGGAGCTCACCCAGCAGATGTTTGATGCCCGCAACACCATGGCTGCCTGTGACCCACGCCGCGGCCGCTACCTGACAGTGGCCTGCATCTTCCGGGGTAAGATGTCCACAAAGGAAGTGGACCAGCAGCTGCTCTCCGTGCAGACGAGGAACAGCAGCTGTTTTGTGGAGTGGATTCCCAACAACGTCAAGGTGGCTGTCTGTGACATCCCTCCCCGGGGGCTGAACATGGCGGCCACCTTCATAGGCAACAATACAGCCATTCAAGAGCTCTTCAGCAGGGCTTCTGAGCATTTCTCAGCCATGTTCAAAAGGAGAGCTTTTGTGCATTGGTACACTAGTGAAGGGATGGACATCAACGAGTTTGGGGAAGCCGAAAGCAACGTTCATGATTTGGTGTCCGAGTACCAACAATTTCAAGATGCCAAAGCCAATCTGGAAGAAAGTGAAGAGGTGATGGAGCAGGTGGAAACGGAAGCAGAGGAGAAGGACCCTTAGCAGGGACAGATGCTGCAGGAGAGTCACTCACAGAAGTTTCTCCAAAGATTTGTTTCTCTCCTGCAGCACTCCATGGCTGCCTTACACTGTAGCCCAGCTACAGAGGGGACTTTGGGGGGAGGAGGCTAATAGGCACTAGGGTCTCTGCCCAGTTATGCACTGTGAGTGGTTTGATAGTCAATGCACACTCTATTATCTTTCTCTTTTACTTTTCTTTCTTTCTTTTTTTTTTTTAACAGTGAAGTGAAAACACCATAGCGTGCCTCCTTTATTTTAAAGTGTATTGAGTCTTGACTTCAGGCCTAGCCCTAGCCAGGCAACCAGACTGCACGTGTAGGTTTGCAGGAGGCCTGTGCGGTTCACTCTTAACTCTTCAGCAGCACTGTCAGGTCCTGGCATCCTAGGGCAGCCAAGACTCACCTTGGTCTCTGTCTTCCTCACTAACACTATCTGGAATCCTGCCTTCCTTGTTGCTGGCCTCCAAAAGAGGCAGGTGACCACTAGCATATGGTGATTTATAGGCTCAGGAAAGTGCCAATATCCACTAGTATACTGCATAGAGTGTATATATACCTCAACACATGAACTGGAAAGGGAAAACAGAAAAACAAGAGAGTGAAAAACACAACTAAAGCACACTGATCCTCTGATTCTGATTTCTGAATAATTAGCTTTCAAAACACACACACATCCATTTTAACTTTCTAATCAGTATTAGATTTCAGGAATTCATCATTATCTTTGGCTTTCCTTTTATAGGCAATTTGGAAACATGCTTTCCAGTTTTATTCAGTAGTTGCCCTTCTCCCACAGCCCCTAAAACGCTGTGTGGCTTCTGTGCTCTCTGAGAAAGGGCACGCTGCATACTCGGCAACCACTCAAATGTAGGAATTAAGCAGAAATGGCTGCAGTGTCCTTCTTGGTTACAGAGGACATTGTCTCATTAGGGAACTTTTACAGTTCAAATTAATTTGCAGAAGTTGCCATAAATGTTTGCATAAGGACACAGCTTTAACCATCACAAGATTTTAATCTGCTCACATTACAACAGAACCAAATACACAAGAGCGTAATCAAATCATCCATAACTTCTTAATTACAGTTTACCTATTTCTGACACACCGCACTGTGGTTCCTTGCATACTGTGAAGGTCTTAATGGCCTTCTAGCATCACCACTGAGCTCTATTATGGGACCATGCATAACTGGTGATGGGAAAATACTCTGACACTGACTTTAGGAAATATTTACTTGCCGGCAACTGGGTTCCCATCTCCTGATGTGCTTTTGTTATTGGCAATAATAATGGAGCAGGTGGATGGACGAGTTGCTCATTCCGGGAAATGTCACTCTTTTCTGTGTGCATCTCGAGGAAATAACTAAAATACATACCAAGAGAAAATTAGGCCTTGCCACTGGCATCTCTCACAGCCTTCTATTTACAAAATTAAAAAAGCACAAAACAATGGTTTAAAACATTTTACTTGTGTGTGGTTTGCGAAGCACTAGATTTAGTAAGAAACTACATATATGCACTCTTTTAAGTTAATAACCTTCCCAGATGCTGAAAAGACTTGGAGCATGTGATTATGGCAGATTTACACACACACTTCCTCTGGCACTTTCTTTCTCAAATCTAAAAAGGCAATTAAATAGATGCAAGAGAAGATATGGACTTAAGATCTTTTTAAAAAAGTTCTGTTGATTTATATTATTGTAAAGACTTTTTGTTTGTTCAATAGTAATCATTAAAGTACAAAAAAATTCAATTTTAAATGGCTAAATTGCTTTATTTCAAACTAAATAAATTCCTTTTCTTAGAGCCTAACCACCCAGACTGATTAATTTGAGTAGTTAAAAATATTTCAAAATGCATCTCACCATCCCACTCCTCTGTATGATACAAATAGATTAAAACAACAACAAACTAGAAATGAGAGAAATTTATCCCTCCTGATTTTGAAGAACTCATTCCTTTAGTGGTTACGGTTGCTACGGCGACATTGGTTTCTCAAGAGACTGAACTAGCAGAATTATAAAATTTTAGAGCTTGTCCAATTCCTTCACTTTACACCCCAGGCCACTACAAGAGTTTATGACTGGACTCCCTCTAACATCACCCAACTGGTCTGTGAACTACCCACAACTCAGTCTGATTGGGGTCCCTACATCATTTGGTATAGTCGTCCTGCCAGTTTCCTTGCAGTCTTGGGTTTGGGGAGTTCATTTCATTATAATACTTGATGTTCAATTTTTTTTTTTTTTTTTTTTAAATCAGAAAGCGCATCAAAAAATTTTTTGCTGGACAGATTTTGTCTTTTATTCAGTTCTTTACATTCTCTCCATATTACAAGCTCTGTCCCTCAGTCTTACTTCTAAACCATCCCCTCTGCCTCCCCAGTAAATAACTGGTCTCTAATCACTAGATTTGAAATAATTTACTCCTTTGCCTATTACTTTATCTGTCTGGTATTAAAAAGGCCCGACAGCCTGTGATTCATTTATTCCTATCCTCTGTAATGGAAGATGCTTCCTGCTACCTTAACCCTGGGGACCTTGGCACTGAAGAGAGATGCTTTAACTTCCTAACAGCAGGAAGACAGGCCCTTGGCAGACTCTGGGGCCTCTCCCCTGCTGCATACCCCCTTCCACTCAATCCACTGCTCCTTTCTGCATGCTGTAGTGAGAATTCAATAAAACTATAGGTCAAGTGTCGAAGGTCATTCCCAGAAGCTGAGACCAAAGATGTTTTCATCATCTTGTCCTCGGCCCTGATAAATTATCACCAGCTTCAGTGCCATGGTGAGAATTGGTCCTAGAAGTGTTCCAAAATTTCCTGTTCCATTTTACTTCTCCATTCTCCAAAAAGTAAAAATTTACAGTTAATTTTGCAATGGTGTGAAGTTAGGCAAGTGTTCCAAGCTTCATAGAAAGATAAAAACCAAATTTGCAACAATTCTTTCTCACTAAATATTTAATGAATGAATGAATGAACACCACAAAACTGCTGCAGCATCATACCTCAGACCTGTAGTCAAGAATCTCAAGATTTTAATTTTAGCCTGGCCATTGGATCTCAATAAGCAGGTATTGAACAGCTTTGCCTCATTTCCTATGAGAAATGCTACTAAAATATAGACTCATTTATAAAACAATATGAAGTGCATTTTGTGATTAAATTGTAACATTAACAGTTCTGTATAGGTTTTAAGTGCACAATAAATAAATGAGTGCTACAATTTAGTGTTTGTTCTTTTAATGTATGCTTTCAGTAATTACTTTCATTTCCATTACTGGCTAAGCGGCACTTAGAGATACTTCTGTCTAGACAAAAGGATGAAGACCCTGCTTGACAACGGAGCCATTATTCTGATGTGACTATGCAATTCAAAGATTAGGGACAACAGAGCTATAATGGCAATGTCTAATTTCAATCACCAATTAATGTCATGAAAAACAGAACTTTTATTTTGCAACATTTAAAAAGTGTTTTCTGTATCTCTTTGGTCACTAAATATCACATATGCCCTTTCCCCTTATCATGTATTTGTGTAGTTTCTATAAACAAAAGTTTGACAGAAACCAAAAGCCAACAATAAGAGTGAGCCATACATCAATTTATTGGCATTGTCAATTTATGAACAAGACAGTTTTTTTTTTTTCATGAAGTGAGATGATTTTAATTTGCCATAATATGTGCCCATACTTCTTCACCTTGAAAATGTAGCATTTCAAGCTTTAGTCAGGGTCTAGGAGGAAAAAAGAAAATGCAACAGTTGCCATCCAGTTCTGTATCTTTTCTTAAACATCCAACACAAATATCAGAAAGGACCTTCACATAGTGAACCGTCAATGTTTAACTGTGGCTGCAAATCCCTTTGCAGGTGCAATCCCTGGATAACTTTTAAGAGTGCAGGGCCTCACCCAACTGGCACTCCCCAATAAATAAATCTAACACTTGCCTAGGAAGAAAGGAACTACTTTGCCTTTTAAAGACATCAATATCCCTGGTGCTGATGGAGAGGGTCCTCACTGCTGAGCTGAACAGAACTTATTGACCCCAAAGACACAGCAAAGTCACAGGAGTCAGATGCAGTGTCTGGCACAGCACTACTGTATAGACTAAGTGATATTCTTAGGTCTCCTATGAACTTAGGAGATTAGACAGCCCCTAAAAAAGGACTCAATTCAAAACACCACATTTCTAGACTCTTAATATCTACCAATTCAAAATGAGAATGAAAAGTGCTTAGAGGAGACAGCTCCATCAAGTGAAACTGCTTGTATCCATGAGTTGCCAAAGGGTTAATGTCTACCACACTTCTATGCTACAGTGTGTCTGCAGCTTTTTAAAAGCAAAACAAGAAAATTCAATCTGAAAAACACTGCTTTGATAATTTGCCTTATCTTTGAAATAACAATGTCAAGAAAGTGGCTGAGAGATCAAATCACTTTTATAGTTTGGAGTACAAACGCCTGAACTTATCAACTGTACAGAACTGTCTTTTTATTGCATAAGAATGAAACTTTACATCACCAACATCTTTGCAGAACTAAAATGAACCAAACAGTCTGAAAGCATAATAAATTCAGCAAAACAGTATTCACTGCAGGGTCTTGCAGATTTTACTGCTCAGTAAAACAGCAGGACCCTTGCTGTACTCGCAGTCCTTATGTTCAGGAAATGGTGATTTGTGAGGACATTAGCAGATGTGGGGGAAATAAAAACGCAAAGAGCTGTAATTTTTCATGCTCTTGAACTGTTACATAACTCCAATAGCAATTAGAAAAGTGAGGAGTTTATCCTCCAAATTATTTGATTTTGTGCAGACAAATGAAACAGGTTTAATTAAAATAAGATGGCTTTCTACCTAAGCATTGCTAAATGAACTGAAAATCAATATGCCAATTACTTCTGCTTGTCAGGGCCCAAAAGGACATCCTTTTATCATGCCACAGTACTTCTACACCCTATATATTTTAAATTATTACTCCAATAACTAACTTTGAAATGCGCTGACTAAAAAAATGAACAGAAGCCCGAACTAGAATTAGTTTGATTTTTATGTGGCTCTAAAAATTTAAGATGCAACTCTTCTTCTAAATAAATCCATAACTTACTGATTATTCCTTTTTTACTTTCACAATTTTTATGCTGCTGCCAGAAGTCTTCTCGGCATTTGCTTTGAATTCTGCCTTCAGTGCATCCCTCACTGCTTTTGCACAGATCTGAGAGTATCGGATGTAGCTGGGAGAAAATGAGAGAAGATATGTTAATTATCAATAATCCTGCCAGACAGCTGTGTTACTGTGTTTTTGGTTTCTTTCCTAAACTTTTAATTTTGGTTTAGTCGGACATTATTGCAGAATTGGATTTAAAACTAATTTCAAAGGAAACCTCTACACACACACAAAAAGAAAGAAATGTGCCAAAAGAGCAACTGATTTTTTTTGGTTCAATGATCATGATTTTAACTTACAGTAAAAGGGGCATAAATATTTAAAAAAAAAAAATCCCACAACACGGGGGAAGGGGTGACACTCATGTCTTAGAACCTGTTTTTAGGAGTCAGAGTTCCAATGCCTGCTTCTACTTCTACTAACTGGGTGACTTGTAGGCTGTTTGACTTGCAAACAAACAACCAAAAATCAGACCAAAATGTTTTTGGAGGATACAACACAAATGATTTTCCCATTTTACTTAAAACCTGTTTAACTGTATTATTCTTACAAGATAAGGTATTTATAATTAACAGAGAAAAAAACTATCTTGAACCCAAACAGCTCTTTCTCTGATAAATATTTAAAGGCTTTCCTGAGAATACTAGACTGTCTCTCACAAGCCTGTCATTGAAAATATCTCCTAATCAAGGTTTCTAAATTACGAAAAGTCCTCAGAGAACACCATCAATTCTAGCAGAATATCTAAATTATCTGCTCCCTGTTTGGTAGCTGGATTTCTAGCAACATCTTATTTTCCCAAAAGATGCTGGTCACTTTTCACACTTTGTTTGAAAACAGGAAGTGGATGGTGGTAGCTACTGCTCATGTCTTAGAACTTGTTTTTAGGAGTCAGAAGTAAAGAGTTCCAATTCCTGCTTCTACTCCTACTAACTGGGTGACTTGCAGGCTGCTCAGCCCTTGTCAGCTTGTTTATTCACCTGTAAAAACAATAGAATAAAAGAATAATAATACCTGCCCTGAAAGGGTCTGGGTGGTACAAAGTGTGAAAAACCTTGGATCACATAGTAGGTGGTTTAATAAATGGTTTGTTATTGTTTTTCAAGTTCATCGTACTTTACTTGACCTTACCACGTCAGGAAACTCGGGCTACTCAGTAGCTGGGGAAGTTACCACTACTCAAATCTAGCCAACTCGCAAGGTGTGTCACTAGGACCACAGGTTCCCACTTTCCCACTGCACACGGGGCGGCCGCTGCACACTTGAACGCCCCCCCCCCCCAGGCCACCACTGTGCTTTGCAGGTCTGAACAACTCAGAGGGGGCTTCCACCCTTTTCCACAAGGACACCGAGGTCAAGGGGTAACAAAAGAGGGCATGCTGCGGGGCTGTCCGTGTGTGCAGCCGATGCACTAGGGTGCACTGCCCGCGCCGGGCCCGCCCCCCGGCGTCCGCATCCTCCGGGGCCTGTAGGCCGGCAGCCCTTGTCCACAGCGACGCCATCTTGGCGGCGGCGCCGAGGCCCGGAGGCCGGTGGGGAGGGCCAGGCCACGCGCCGGCTACCCCCGCCGCGACTCTGGCGCCGGGCCCGTGCGC